TGCCTAGAAAAGTATCAGGCATTCAGTAAATTTCAGAGGCAGCATTGGTGGAGTGGTGATGGTTGTCCATGATAATAATATGTTCATTTAGGCCAGGCGCGGTGGTTCACACCTGTAATCCCAGAACTTTGGGAGGCCGAGGTGGGCGGATCACAAGATCAGGAGATCGAGACCATCCTGGCTAACACAGCGAAACCCAGTCTCTACTAAAAAAAAAAAAATACAAAAACTAGCCGGGCGTGGTGGTGGGCACCTGTGGTCCCAGCTACTGGGCAGGCTGAGGTAGGAGAATGGCATGAACCCGGGAGGCGGAATTGCAATGAGCCGAGATCAGGCCACTGCACTCCAGCCTGGGCGACGAGCAAGACTCCGTCTCAAAAAACAAAAAAACCAGAATAATAATATTAATAATAGTATGTTCATTTAATACAAGATTAGTATTGAGGAAAATTCCAGCACAAGAAAACCTTTGGAATTGTAAAGTTATGTACCAGCAGTCCAGAAATTAACTGTAGATGTCTTTGTTTTTAAGTTGACACTATTTCTGGAATCTTACCATTTATAAATTGTCAGGGCCAGAGCTTCACATATCAAAAAATAGGCCACAGTTCCTCTCATTCTGACCCTTTTGTGTTTGCCATAGTTGAATATAGCTGTAAATTAAAAATAGGAAAAGTGGATCTTGGAACATTTGAAAGATTTATTCAATTTGAAACAGAAACCAGCAACTCATGTTAAATGAGCTCCAAGAATATGGGAATTGGAACAGAATCTGTGTTTGGTTCAATGCCTATTCCTGTGAGGACCCCAAGGAAGAGCAAACTTCAGCAGTCTTGCTGTCATGCCACATGCCCCTCACTGTAGCCACATGCCCCTCACTGTTTGAGAGGCCACGCCGAACCAAATCATTTCCAGAGTTCATCTTTTATCAAGGTCATTAATTAGGAAGAATAATGTAAATTAACTAAAAATACACTATTCAAGCTTTTTAAAAATAAGAATTAGCCTTTTGGGGAAAATAGTAAAAAGAAAAAAAGGGGGAGGATGCTCAGTGTATTTTCTGCCATTCTAAACTTGCGGCCTTTTCACTTCTCTGGGTTCTTTTCTAGTTTGTTTCTATGGGTATTTGCACAGTGATGTAAATCTTAGCCCCTTTCTTGCTGACATTATTTTAAATCATTTTGGGGGCTTCTAAGCTATACTGTTTGAGGAGGGAGGTGCAAATGAAGAAACAGTTTCACCCTTGGCTTTCCTTCGTATTTCCACCTGAGGGTGAGCGCTCGGGCAGGAAGGCTTGAGGTGGGGGAAAGGTAAACAGGAAGTTGGAAGATGTCCTAGGAGGCAGTTTAGGGCTCCTCAGGCTGGAGGCAGGAAGATGGAGGGGGCTGTTGTCAAGGGGAAAACAAAATGAAAGCCCCCTGAGCACACCGTTCATTTTCCTGTCATTGGGTCTTTGTTATGTTTCCTTGTGTATTTACGCCCATTCTTTAAGACCTAGATTCGGTGTTTTCTGTTTTCTGTAAATTTCCTAGACTCCCCCCGCCACAACCTTGCCCCAGCCCACTCCCCATCAGGACAAAATTAATTGCTATCTTATTTATGTTCTGAAATCTCTGTTAAATCTAATTTTTCTAATAATTATCTCTCTGAGTCATACTCCTGCTTCCCTCAATAGATTCTGAGTACTGAGACCACAGGGTATATATACTGTGTTTCTTCACTCTGAGCCCCTTCCCTTGGGGAGCATCAGATTCCTTTCTAACTTGTGGAGCAGCTGAGTGAGCCCCTTTCTCTGGCAATAAGAGAGGGAACTTGAGCTGTTAATAGAGCTAAAGTGATTTCTTAAAAATCTCCTGAGACACTGAGAGTATGCTTATTAACTCAGTACCCATCTAAAGTGACCTCTCTATCCTTCCAGTTATTGATTCATATCGGGCAGGCAGTGTGCTCAGAGTGGATGTGGGTGAAGCGGGAAGGGTGAGGTGTCTGGTAGGGCTGATATGTATTGCTATGTTGTAGCTTGCTCTTGACCTATAATGAGTAATCTGCAGAGCAGGGAAGATTGAGTGAGATCATGTCTGGAAGGTACCCTGGATCCTTGGACAGTATTAAAATGGGTTTTATGTTTAAGCATCTATTAGAATAGAATTGCATAATTACTGTAAGGAACCTTAGAAACTCATGTCCTTCTTTTATAAATATTAGAGAAAACTAATACCCAGAGAGGTGAAAGTGACATACAAGCCAGTATAGTAGCTTGTCACCACAAATTAATTAATTGTGTGTTGAAGCCAATGGGTTTCTCAAGACTGCGTCTTAGGAAAGCAGAAATGAAATTCTGTCTGCACTTGGTCTGTACTGGGGTAACAGCATCAGAAGCCTGCAAGATGCCAGACAAGTATCATAATTAAGTGAATGAGGGACGACAAGGACAGGGAGTGGCAGGAACTGTGGCAAACTGGAAAACACATCCCTGTCCTGTGTAAAGGGGGCAAGTTATCTCCCTGTGTGGGAAGGCAGGCACAGTGTTGGTAGACCCAGTCATTTCCCAAGAGCAGTTAGAAATGGGTCAAACTTGTGTGGGCTGAATAAAACATGTCGGATGGGCTGAATTTGGCCTGAGGGTTGACCTTGCTCCTGACAGCAGATGCAGCCACCTTTGTCTGTGGACTAGGCAGAAATACTCAGTGAATAGCAGCAGCTAAGTATAATTTTTTCCCCACAAATTTTTTTAAGACATTGTTCTGGTTGATAGTTTTGACATCCTTCTATTTTACCTCCACAGAGGGGAGTGTGTATGTAGTACCTTCCTCTTTGGCATTGTTTACTCTCAGGGAAAGCTTTTAAGGAGGAGAAGGGAAAGAGGCAGGGGGCCTGGAAGGATCACAAGCTGGTGATCTACTTTTAGATACGAAATAATTGTCAGGTGGCATGTGCAGCCCAATGTGCCCTGTCTGGTATTTTCATGTCCATCTGGGACTTAACTAAGTGAAGATTTCTGCCAAGATCCAGCCCTGAGGCAGGGAAGAAAAAACCACCAATTTCCAAGCAAATGCCAGATCCTCCTCTGCCTCCCTGTGAATATCTTCTGGCTTTTAAAAAGAGGAGTCCTTCAGGCTGGGCGTGGTGGCTCACTCCTGTAATCTCTGTACTTTGGGAGGCCGAGGCTGGCGGATCATCTGAGGACAGGAGTTCGAGACCAGCCTGACCAATAAGGAGAAACCCCATCTCTACTAAAAATACCAAATTTGCCAGGCATGGTGACAGGCGCCTGTAATCCCAGCTACTGGGGAAGCTGAGGCAGGAGAATCGCTTGAACCTGGGAGGCGGAGGTTGTGGCCAGCCGAGATCGTGCCATTGCACTCCAGCCTGGGCAACAAGAGAAAAACTCTGTCTCAAAAAAAAAAGAGAGAGAGAGAGAGAAGTCCTTTAAATCTCTGTTTACAGAATTCTTGGGAGCCCTCAAGAGTTTAAAGAATAAGCTATCTATTGAAAGCATCTTTCTGTAGGGCCATTGCAATAATCTGTTTCTGACTTCCCCATTAGACAGTCAGTTGTCAAGACAGTAGCTGGCCGCCCTTTAAAACATTAGTCACTGAGTCCGTCTTTCTTTTTGATTCACAAGACTCTAGTGGCTAAATGCCTCCCTGTGTCCTGAAAGGCTTCAAACAGTCTGTGCCCTCTGCCCAGTCCTTCCATTACTTCCCTGACCTCGCCTCCTACTACTCACCACGTGCTCACTGCGCCCAGCCACTAACTAGTATGCTCCCTCTTATGGGCCTTTGCATTTTATGTTCTCTGCTTAGAAGACTGTTTCCCTAGAGACCTCCATGCCTATCCTTAAGGCTTCATAGAGCAGCCTTGTCTACTGAAAATTGCAATCCCCTCTACCTCCTCCTACCTCCAGCTCTCCCTATCCACATTCCTCACTTTACTTTTTTTTTAATAGCATTTGTTTCCAAGCGCTACTATACAATTTATTTATTCGTCTCCCCTTACTGTAAACATTCCATGAGTGCAGGTATTTTTGTCTGTTTTGCTCACTGCTGCATTTGTGGAGCTTACAACAGTGCCTAAAAACATAGCATGGGCTTGACAGGTATTTGTTGAATACATTTTGAGATACTGTCCCCTCTCTGCTAGGGATGGTGGTATTTACTATGATGAACAGACACACCTCTTGCTACTGAATCATGGTGTTATTAACATTTCCACTCATAAACTTTATCTGTTTTTCAAGGTTTCTGTGTCAATTCTACTTTCTAAACATATCTTGAATTTTTAAAATTTCCCCTTCGTTAAACCATCACAACTTCCTATTTGGAATATAGACTCTCACCATCCATTTTTGCCCCTCCACAGTCTCACTGTGTAGAGCCAGAATGCAGCTAGAATGACCTATCTAAAATATAAATCTGATCATTACCACGCTTTCCTTCATTTAAAATCCTTCATTGACTTCCCATAGCTTTTCACACTAGACTCAGTAGCCTTACCCCATACCACAGGTCCTGCATGGCTTGGTTGCAACGTTAGCTTTCTTTGTTCCTCTAACAGGCCAGAGTCCTTTCTGACTCGGGGCCTTTGCTGTTCTCTCATGGTGGAACACTCTCCCACTCCCAGTCTCCCATTCTACACCTGGTTGACATCCTCCCATCTACATTTAAACGTTCCTTTCCCTGAGTTTCTCTGAGTCCCTGTGCTAGTTAAGCTCCCTCTGCATTTTCCTTCACAACATTTACTACAATAGTAGCTAATACTTGTGAAATTATTTAAAGGCTGGCTCTCACGTACTTATTGAGAACAAGAGCTCTTCTGTGGTGTTTGCCTTTGTATCCCCAGCACTTGACACTGTCCCTGATACATAATAGAAGCTTAGTAAATACTTGCAGAGAGATAAATAGAAACAACAAATAGGTAGGTGTCTTCTCCTCGATCCCTGGGATTGGGAGCCTTGTGGGGTAGTAACTCATTCATTAATGATGTGTTTTTCTCCACAGAGATTATTTTGCAGAGGATGATGGGGAGATGGTACCCAGAACAAGTCACACAGCAGGTAAGGATGTTATGGGCCTTGCCTTGTTAAATTCTTTGTTTCTTTTGTTTATTCATTTGTTTTTCTTTTGAGACAGGGTCTCACTCTCTTACTATGGATGTAGTGCAGTGGTGTGATCATAGCTCACTGCAGCCTCAAACTCCTGAGGTCAAGCTGTCCTTCCACCTCAGCCTCCTGAGTAGCTGGGACTACAGACATATGCCTAATTTTTAATTTTTTTTTTTAGAGATGGGAGTCTTGCTATGTTGCTCAGGCTGGTTTTGAATGTCTGACCTCAAGCGATACACCCACTTCAGCTTTCCAAAGTGTGTGGGAGAAACTGGCACTTGGCCAATTCTTGGTTTTCTATTGATCGTAATTCTCTTGAATTACGGCCTCTTTAAATTCATCATGGCAATATCTTCAAACTTTTGTGCATTTCCAAATTTGCACATACTACTGTAGCAATTTCACACTGAGAATTATAAGCTAGATATAATTCTATGTACTGAGAAGCAGCACAGTACAGTAAATCATTACAGATACTTATATGAATTCTTCATACTTTTAATGATTCTGTAATTGCAAGGCTAAACTCACTTGCACAATGATTAAAATAAATTATGTTACTAAAATGAAAGCTCTATCTTAATACACCATTAAAATGTGTATAATAGGCCGGGCACAGTGGCTCAAGCATGTAATCCCAGCACTTTGGGAGGCTGAGGTGGGCGTATCACTTGAGATCAGGAGTTCAAGACCAGGCTAGCCAACATGGTGAAACCCTGTCTCCACCAAAAATACAAAAATTAGCTGGACTTGGTGGCCCATGCCTGTAATCCCAGCTACCCAGGAGGCTGAGGCTGGAGAATCTCTTGAATCTGGGAGGCAGAGGTTGCAGTGAGCCGAGATCGTGGCACTGCACTCCAGCCTGGGTGATAGAGCAGACTCAGTCTCAAAAAATAAAACATAAATAAATAAATAAATAAATAAATAAAATGGGTATAATAATAATATTAATCTCATACGTGAGATGGAGAAAAGCTTTTAGTACAGAGGCTGTCAAGGAATAAGCACTCAGTATCTTACCTATTGTACTATTAATGTATTCCTAACAACAGCACAATTATTAGTGCGCTAACATTAGACAGAGATCTACTTGAATTGCAAAACCAAAGAGAAGATAACATTCTTTTGGGGTCTATTTTTCATAAAACTTGTTCTCAACCTGAGGGTTTTACTTCCTTGCTAAGTTCTTTGCCTTTTTTGTAACAGCCTGGAAGCACAGATTGCTTATATGCACAATTTGGAAAAAAGTTTTTAATTTGAATAAGTTAAGAATTTCAGAGTCACTTAAAATTAGTATTTGAAATTGTGTGTTAAATCCACAAATTCCAAGGGTTACTATGCTCAACATTTTAAATGTCAATATTCTACATTTTGAGGCAAAAATTGAAGGACTAGGGCAAAAATGTGAGGGGAATGGATAAAATGCTTACTACATATAAGACATGTGGCAAGGTGCTTTTATTTATTATTTTATTTAATCCATATAACAGCTCTATAAAGCAGATATTATTATCCCTGTTTTTACAGAGGCAATATATCAGCAAAACTAAGAGATTTGCCTAAATTCCCACAATTGGCAAGTGGTCAGGATTCAAATCTAAGCCTCAAGGCATTGCTCTTTCTATCATATCCACCAATCTAACTATAAAGTATTGTTATTCTGTCTTATCAAATTATCTTCCCCTTAGTAGTATATTTAATTTCACCTAAATGTGGAAGAAATCATTTTTTCTATTTACATTTATTTATTTATTTATTTTTGAGACAGAGTCTTGCTCTGTCACCCAGGCTGGAGTACTGTGGTGCCATCTTGGCTCACTGCAACCTCTGCCTCCCAGGTTCAAGCAATTCTCCTGCCTCAGCCTCCGGAGTAGCTGGGATTACATGTGCCTGCCACCACACCTGGCTAATTTTTATAGTTTTGGTAGAGATGGGGTTTCACCATGTTGGTCAGGCTGGTCTTGAACTCCTGACCTCAAATGATCCGCCTGACTCAACCTCCCAAAATACTGGGATTACAGGTGTGAGCCACCATGCCCAGCCTCTAATTACTTTTAATTAAAAATTTTGCATTTACTTAGAAACATTCAGAATATCACCAAAACAGGTGCAATATCATCATAATTATTTTATTATTTGCTATCACAGAGTAGTATGCAACTAACAGAACAATTATATTGAGTAAGCTGCATGAAAAACAATTGAAGAGCAAAAAAAATAATATCTCCATATATATGTAATTGATTTGTGCTATGCACCAATAAAGCCTGCTTTAAATTTCTGTTCTAGTTTAAACCCCCACACAGTACCAGGCAAGGTTAGTGGCTATTGAAAATATCATTAAGGACAGGGTTATCTAAAGACACACTGGATACTATATTAATTTTGCAAACATAAAAAGACAGTGTACAGTGTTCAGTTTAAAAACAAATGATATGATCTTACATTTCAGTTTTTTTCTTTGAAATCAGTGGTGTAATGGGGGGTTAAATACTTTTAGGCAAAAAACAAACTCATACACACACACACACAAAAAACAAATTTAAAAAACAAAACAAAACAAAACAAAAGCCTCTTTAAAAATCACCCCATTGACTATCATCATTTTTTCTTCACCCTTTTCATCTTTCTGTTCATCAATGTCTTTCCAGTCCTTTTTTCTTTCTTCTTTTTTCTTTTTCCAGTTTTTCCAACTTCCATTTTCCCTGCATCAGACTTTCTTTTATCCCAGAATACAGCAATAGCCTTTATATCTATGATCTTAAAAGCCTTTCTTTCCTCAAGGCTGTATATTATCTGCAGCAGTAATTCTTCATTTCTTTCATTTCTCTCAGTTTCCTTACAACATCACCAATGAATTAGCCAAGATGTTCTCCTGTGCTCTTCTGGGGCAATTTTCAGAACAAAACAAGAAAAAGGAGATCCCTTTGGTACATTAGAATCCTGGGACTTCTTTTCTCTCTCTCTCTCTTTCTCTTTCTCTCTCTCATTTCCTTGCAGAGAGAATATAGATTTTTGTTTCTTTCTTATAATGGGCCTGTTCACCTTCACCCTGTCTTCAAATTTTTTCTTTCTCTTTAGCAGAAATGAATTTCCATCTTTTCTGAACATAAAAAAAAAAGAATTCTAAGAAGTTGACTGAAGCATCTGGGTGCTTTTTCTTGGGCTCCTTCTGGCAAGTTGGCAGAATGAAGGAAAGAAGGCAGGGAAGGAGGGAGAGAGGAGGGAGGGAGGGAAGGAAGGAAGGAAGGAAGGAAGGAAGGAAGGAAGGAAGGAAGGAAGGAAGGAAGGAAGGGAGGGAGGGAGGGAGGGAAGTGGAGGGAGGGGAGGGAAGGAAGGAGGCTGGCAGAGAGGTAGGAGGGAAAGAGAAAGAAGAAAGAAAGAGAAAGGAAGAAAAGAAGGAAGGAAGGGAGAGAGTGAGAAAGAGAGAAAGAAAAAGAGAGAAAGAAAAAGAGATAGGAAGAAAAGCATGCAATGGCATTTTACCTCTTACTGCCTTGGATCTCCTTTGCCCAAGTGTCTAGTTAACTTTTCCTCAGCAAGGCAGTCACCCTGTACCTGTTTTGCTTACTTGCCCTGACACTGTCTGTAGAGCTTAATGCTTTGCCATGATTGTCTTCTTTCTTATTTAAAAAGTAGTTCCAGAGTAAAGGTTCATTATTTCCTTCCGTCAGCCAAGAAAGTAATGTAGCTTTCTATGTTTTCTACCTGAGTCTGTAACTCCAACCCTGCCCCAGCATGGAGTCCTCTGTGTACTTTGTTTGACAGAGGCTCTGATTTCTCATTCTTTAACAACGTTACTTTTCAAAAGCAAGCATAGGGTTAATTACAGCTTAGACTCCACTAGGTTCTCCCAAAGCAATGCTTCCATTGGTTAATGGAGTGATTGAATCTCTGACTCTTTACCTGTTTTCCCCACTCTCAGACCTGTTGCAATCCCTTTAATTGCTAAAATAACACAGTAGTAGCATACTGCTAAGAAAGACAGATGGAGAAAATATGGGATTGGTTCTGCCACTTTTTAGCAATGTGATCTTGCACAAGCAAACTTTCTGAACCTTTACTTATTCATCAGTAAAATGGATTTAATAATCACTTATGTCTATTTCACTCATTGCAGCGATTTCATAAATGAAATAATTCACGTGAAACTATTTTGTAATATGTAATACCCTTTAAATATGTTGGTTGTTACAATTGTTACTATTACTAAATAGTAACCTGAAAAATTCTCTGTAGGGATATTTGTAGATAGAGTTTGCTAGTAGCTTGGTTCTTTCCTTTAGACTGTTCTGGTTACCTTTTGTTATGTGACAAACCATCCCAAAACTTAGTGACTTAAAACAGGGGTCAGCAGCAAACTACAGCCCATGGACCAACAGCAAACTACAGCCCATGGACCAACAGCCAGTTTTTATAAGTAAAGATTTATAGCCACACAGTCACACTCATTGATTTACAGATGGTCTGTGTCTGCCCCGTGCTACAGTGTAGAGTTGAGTACCTGTGACAGAGATGATATGACCCACAAGCCTAAAACACTGTCTGGTCCTTTAAGAAAAAGTCTGCCCACACCTGGCTTAAAACAACAATGATTTATTATTTCTCACAATTCTGTGTTGGCAAACTGGGCATTGTCACTGCTGGTCTCACTTGGGATCACTCAACTGGCTGCAACATTCTGATGGCTTGACTGGTACTTAAGATCTCAGACAGCCTTGCTGACATGTCTGGCAGGTGGTGACTGTCAGCTGGGGCATCTTCACTTCCCTGAACAGCCTTTCCTTCTCCGGTGGGGTAGACTGACTTCTTCACAGCATGGTTGTCTTGGGATGCTAATAAGGCAAGAGCAGAAATGCAAGGCCTCTCAAAGCTAGTCTCTGGAACTCATACAGTAGCACTTTTATCATATTCTGCCAGTCAAGGCAAGCCACTTTGCCAACCCAGATTCAAGAGCTGGGGAAATAGGCTTCATTTCTTGATGGCAGGAGTATCATATTGCAAAGGCATATGGACACAAACTAGTTTGATTCACTGGGGATGGCTATTAATATGATCTACCACAGGCTGCTTTATGTAAACTTTTTCTATGTGGCCTAGATTGAGTTTGTATTTTGCAGAAACTGAATTCTGCTGAAATGTGCCAGTCAGAATGATCCTAGTGCCATTATTATATAAACCTTTTTTGTTGTTGTTCTGTTTCACTGACAGCTTTTCTTAGTGACACTAAAGATCGAGGCCCTCCAGTGCAGTCACAGATCTGGAGAAGTGGTGAAAAGGTCCCCTTTGTGCAGACATATTCCTTGAGAGCATTTGAGAAACCTCCTCAGGTACAGACCCAGGCTCTTCGAGACTTTGAGAAGGTAAGTCATGTGAGTGGATAATTGTAATCCCAATTAGAAGCAGTACTATGGAATAGTGATGTCTTATAAAAATATGACCAATGGATTGGTCTGGATTATGGATGGTATTATCATTATGGTGTCTCTTTCAAGAGCATGTGTCCCAATAAACATATGCTCTGTTAGCTGTGTGCTGGGGTGTGTGATTTATGGACCCCCTTGCCTGTACAGCAGCCCCCCCTTATCTGTAGGGGGTACATTCTAATACCCCCTTTGGATGCCTCAAACTGCGTAGTACTGAGCCCTATATTTACTATGTTTTTTTCTATACATACATGCTTATGATAAAGTTTAATTTATAAATTGTTAATGAGATTGACAATAGTTAATAATAACATAGAACAATTATAACAATATACCAGCATTACTACTCTTGCACTTTTACATTAGTAAGTAAAATAGGAGTTACTTGAACACCGCGCTGTGATACTGCAACAATCTGATAACCCAGACAGCTACTGAGTGACTAACTGGTGGGCAATGTATACGGCCTGGATGTGCTGGACAAAGGGATGATTCAAGGGTGAGATGGAGCGGAAAGCACGAGATTTCATCATGCTACTCAGAACAATGTGCAATTTTAAATTTATGAGTTGTTCATTTCTGGAATTTTCTATTTAATATTTTCAGACTGTGGTTGACTATGGGTAACTGACACCATGGAAAGCAGAACTGTGGATAAAGGGGGACTAACTATACCAGTAAATGCTGCCTCATCACCTATACCCTTGGCTTACTTCTCAGATAAACTCAGGAAGTTTAAATGGCATTCTGAGAATCTGTAGCTGCAACATAGTGAGCCCAGGAGTCCCAGTCCAGCAGCTAGTATTATATTCTCTGTTGCTCGCTTGGACCTCTCTCGATATCTAGGAATTGTCTGCAGTATGCGGTGGCGCAGTAACAACCGTTTGTTTCTCAACAAGAATCTGATAATGTTGCTTGAACCTCCTGAACCAGTGCTGCGTGCTCTGCTTCTTCTTCTTCATATGTTTGTTCTTAGATTTGACCAAAAACAATAACTGATAATGTAATACAGATTCCCCAGCTCCCTGTGAGCTGGGTTGATCCCAGGAAGTCTGTAGAAGTTACTGGGTTTTAAATAGCCCAGAAACAGGCAGCTGGAATTTCTTACACTCCTGTGCTCTACAGAAAGAAAGAAATAGCTCTTTGGTGCCCCCTCAGGGATACCCAGTGAGCAGGTCCCACGTAAGTAATGTGTAAATTGTAAAAGACTGGGGTTTCTCTCATTCTGGAATTGATAACTTTTGACAGAAAAAAAAAATAAAGTAAAATTCTAATTTCAAAAATGTTTGCGTTGACCTGGGTTTACCCCATCTCTCCTCAATTTGTAAGTAGAAATATTTCACCAATACTTTCTGTACATCCTACCAGATATTTCTGTGGGCAAAGACTATGCACCATATAACATGTGCCTAATAATTATCAGCCTATTCTTCATCTTTTTTGCTCAGCGTTCTCATGTATACTGTGTGTATTTTTTTTAAAGACACGGAGAGTTTGCATGATAATTAAGAGGCTTTTGAAGACTAAACCTCTGAACAACTGTGTGGTGCTGGTGGGGGGAGCAAGGATGCTAACACCGCAACCCCCTCCTTTTTTTTTTCACCTTTTGGATCTGCTGTGATGCAGAAAGGGTGAGCAGAGCTGCAGAGCTCCTCAAAACTATGGGGTGCTCTCTAAAGGACAGCCAGCCTGCATGTTCCCTTTCATTGAGAGATGACTGGAAATATAGAAATAAGCAGTGTCACCTCCATTGAAGGAATGCATTGAAGGAATGCAGATATAAGGCCCAAAGTCCTTTTCTCTTAAAGTTTAGGTCTAATATGACAGATTAGTTCTGATTTCTCAATGCTGGGAAACACTGACAGAAACCAAGCTAAGATGCAGGGAAAAGGCCAATAAGAGATAGTTTAAATCTCTCTGTGCTATGTGTCAAATAAAAAGTAAATAAAGAGGCTACAACCCACTTCAGGCTTGATCAGAAAGTCATTGCCAGTAAATCATGCAGTGTTGTGTCCCATTTTTTTTTATTTTTTTTTTTTTTTTTGATACGGAGTCTTGATCTGTCGCCCAGGCTGGAGTGCAGTGGCCGGATCTCAGCTCACTGCAAGCTCTGCCTCCCGGGTTCACGCCGTTTTCTGCCTCAGCCTCCCGAGTAGCTGGGACAACAGGCGCCCGCCACCAAGCCCGGCTAATTTTTTGTATTTTTTTAGTAGAGATGGGGTTTCACCGTGTTAGCCAGGATGGGCTTGATCTTCTGACCTCGTGATCCACCTGCCTCGGCCTCCCAAAGTGCTGGGATTACAGGGGTGAGCCACAACGCCCAGCCACGTTTGTTCATTTTTATATCCATTCATCCATCCTGTGGACTCTGAATGACAGCACCTAAAATACAAAAAGCTTCCATGAAAGGGTTTAAAAATTAGAGAAAACATTGGTTAGAAAAAATATAGGAGAGATAGGAACACATTCCAATGCCCCACCCTAAAAATGGTAAAATACTAAATAACATGGTATTTTCTGTAAAGTTTAAAATATGTAACATGTAAATAAATAACATGGTATTTTCTGTAAAGTTTAAAATATGCATTCAGTAGCCTTGGGATATAGGACGGGTAGCAGTACTCAGAGAGAGGAAGGGACATGCTAAATGTTTTTTGCCAGAGTAGGGTCGACTCCTCCAGGGCTTAAAGACAAAGGGATACAGGCCTGGAAGGAGCAGCCAGGAATCCCTTCTTATTTCATTTATCCGTGCAACAAACACATGATCACATTAAATGAGATACTTTAGTTCCTACCCTTAGATAGTTATAATCTATTTGGAAGTACAGACATTGCATTAATTACAATGTAGGATAGCAAGTGCTTTCATAGAGATAAGGACAGTACACTCTGAAGATCTTGAAAGAAAATGTCTACTTTTATTAAAGGAATAGAGAAAGGCCTCTTACAAGAGGACATTTCTCCTGGGGGCTGCGCATTGAGCACGGTCTCCAAAGCTGAGTTAGAGAAGTAGAGTATAATATTCCAGATAGAGGAGAAATTTGGGGGAAGGAAGAGAGGTATGTTCATGGATTGAGCAAATAAGAGACTGGGCTATAGAGAGGTAAGGAAAGGAGAGTTAGAACAGGAGAGAACTAATATTAAAGGTACTTAATCTGTCGAAAGTAATTGTAATTGTTCAGTAATGTGGCTACCTCTAAAATGTTTGCTGATGTAGGAAATTCTAGAGAAAAAAGGCCCTTTGATTACAGGGAAAGAAATAACAGACTTAAAATGCAAATACTGGCACATTATGGAACCAAAACATAATTAGTCAATTAACAAGTGAAAATGACAATTATCATTTATGTTGGTGCAGAAAAAAGGGACAAAGATGGCAACATTTCACACATACAACAGTGTTTCTTTTCTTTCGTTCTCCACCCACAACCAACAGCATGGTTGTATGTGTATACAAACTCCAATTGTATGTTTGTCAGGTTGAGATCAATAGGTATTATTTTCCATGGTGAAAGAAGGGCATTGCTTAGCATATATGCTTCATTTGTATTTTTGAATGAGTGAGTGATTTAATTAATTTCCCAACCTTGCCAACTTCGTTGTGTAGGGGCTTTTCCCCACTCAGAGAATCCACCGATGAAGGGATCTTTATTCTTTTCAGCTCTGTAGACTTGAGCAGTGGGTTAAGTGCATCTCATAAGTTGTCTTATTTTGTCTTTATAAGACATGGAACAAGCATCAATCTCCCCATTTTTTAAGTGAGGGAACTAGGACCCACAGAAATTTTGACTTTTTCAGGGCTGTAAGTTTATGTACCATGATCATAAATCTGAACAGGTTATTGGGTCAGAAATAATTTTTACCTACAAATGGCCACAATGATGTGTTAAGAAAAATCCCTTGCCGTATGCTTTCTCACTGATCACAGCACCCAGCTGCAGCATCGCTGGGATGAGTGAGACTGGAGCAGCACATGCATAATACTGGCTAGCATTTGATGATCACTTTCTATGTGGCAAATATGGTTCTAAGTATGTGACAGCATTATCTCATTTACAACAACCCTGTGAAAAGGCATGATTACCAGTTAGAATGGAGATCATTAAAAAGTCAGGAAACAACAGATGCTGGAAAGGATGTGGAGACACAGGAACGCTTTTATACTATTGGTGGGAGTGTAAATTAGTTCAACCATTGTAAAAGACAGTGTGACAATTCCTCAAGGATCTAGAACTAGAAATACCATTTGACCTAGCAATCCCATTACTGGGTATATACCCAAAGGATTATAAATCAATCTACTATGAAGACACAGGCACACGTATGTTTATTGCAGCACTGTTCACAATAGCAAAGACTTGGAACCAACCCAAATGCCCATCAATGATAGACTGGATAAAGAAAATGTGGCACGTATACACCATGGAATACTATGCAGCTGTAAAAAAGGATGAGTTCATGTCCTTTGCAGGGACATGGATGAAGCTGGAAACCATCATTCTCAGCAAACTAACACAGGAACAGGAAACCAAACGCTTTATGTTCTCACTCATAAGTGGAAGTTGAACAATGAGAACACATGGACCCAGGGAGGGGAATATCACACCCCAGGGCCTGTCAGGGGGTGTGGGCCAAGGGGAGGGATAATATTAGGAGAAATGCCTAATGTAGATGATGAGTTGATGGGTGCAGCAAACCAACATGGCACACATATACCTGTGTAACAAACCTGCATGTTCTGCACATGTATCCCAGAACTTCAAATATAATAAAAAAAGAAAAGCCATTATTATTATTCCAATTTACAAATGATGAACTAATGGCAAAAAGAATAACAAAGGAACTTGCCCAGTGACTCATGATTGACCCTGAAAACACCTTATGTCTTTGTGACCTAAAGATAGTGGGTATTTCCTATGTTGGGGAACTCAGCTGGT